CCCCCCCCCCTCTGTTACACCATACAGCGAATATCACAAAGGGTTGTTGGTCACAGGGTCAGAGGCAGCGTTTGCATGGGCTGGTCCGACTGGTGCAAGAATGTCTCAGACGTCGTCACGCTAGTGTGTAGCAGATAATTCTGTGCCAATGATGTGAGTTTTGTTGCCGTTGCTTGTTTGTGTACGTGTGTGTGTGTGTGTGTGTGTGTGTGTGTGTGTGTGTGTGTGTTTGTGTGTGTGTCTGTGTGTGTGTTTGACCGTGGAGCGTGCCTGCAGAGTCTGACCCCTGGCGCGTGTCACCTCAGGCCTGTGCGGGGGGAGAGGAGGAGAGTGAGGAGGGAGGTGGCAGCACGGCGGCTCATCTGCTGGAGGCTCTGCGGCAGTTCCGCCTGCACCACCGGGGGCAGTATCAGTCGGTGCTGGAGGAGTCCCTCGCCACCTACACCCTGCGGGGGGAAAGCGCGGCGGAGGGGGCGGGGGAGGGAAGGAGGACCCCCGGAGACGGCGACAACAACGGCCAACAGCAGCCCGCCTCCCCTCCCTCTCCCCGGTCACCCCCACCCTCACCCGCCACTGCAGAGCCGGAGGCCAGCCAAGATGCGCCCGCCCTCGAGTCCGACCCCTCCTCTGACTGAGCACCCCCCCCCTTCCAACCCAGCCCGACCCCAGAGCCCTAGTCAGCTGTGCTACGACCTCTCCTCCTTCCCTTCACCACAGAACTTAAATGGACACATCGGCCTCCATCATGGTCTGCACAACTACAGCTACCATGCTCATGAATATTTCAGTATATTATAATGCAAAGGAAATAAAAAAACGGCCCTTCTGTCCATTCAAGTTCTGTCTCCGAGCCACTTGCATACCTTCCTCCTAATGAGGGCTTTTTTCTTTTGCCTCCCTCCCCTGTCCTCTGACCGCCTCAGCTTGGACTCCCTAAACTTGCCAGACACTTTTACACACTGATGTTTAGACATTTAGGAAATAATCAATAACAAATTATTATTATTACATTAAAAAGTGGCTGCTGAAGCAAAAAATGAACTTTGCACTCCATGGCCAACATTTTACCAGTAATGGCTTCTGGCTGATTCCCCCCCCCCTCCCCCGAGCCTCACCCCCCAAACCTGCTTACAGTGGACGTACTGACAAAGAAAAGGCGAGGAGATCTCCAGCTGTGTTTCAACACACTGCACTGTCTCCAGGCCAACTCCCTCTACAGACTCAGAACACACTTTCTTTTTCGTTTATGTATGTATGTGTGTGTACGTGTGTCTGCAAGGGTTTGAGTGAGTCCAACCAATCATCACTACTGTAATTTCAAAAATAAATTTGGTAGTGGGTGATTATTGATTGTTAGCCCGTTTATCAGCTCAGCGATGTTAGGTTGTTCAAACCAGTCCGGATACAGGAAAACCGTGCAGTTAAACCACAGTGGGACACTTGTAGTTTGAACGGCATTTTATTTAGATCATTCCATCACCACATATTCCTATTTCCACATCACCACATTTATTACGCTGCCTCACAACCACATAAAGGTCAAAATATGTTCCTGTATATGTCAGTAAAACTCAAATAGGTGACTAAATGTTTGTTTAAATGAGAATTAGGCTTTAAGTACAGTATAGAGCCACGCTACTGTAGCAACCCTCAAAGGCTGTAATGCTCATTACACAGCGGAAAAGTTACCTGTTGGAGGGATTAAATAAAAAAGGGTTTAGTTTGTACAGTGTGTGATTTATTGCTCTACATCGTGTGACATGGATCAACCTTTGTACTGGCTGTGTCATCTTTGTCAGTGTTAGCTGTAATACTGTCAGCAAATCCTAGCCTCTGTTGGCATAGCCCCGTCCCAGAGGGAAGCTGTGTTCTTAAATGCTGCCTGCTCAGGTTAGGAATGAGCCCTTAATGAAAACTGGGGCACATGTTGATGATCCCTGCTTTATCAGAAAACTACTTTTTGATATCAGTTCTTTAACTTGTGAGCTTGGGATGAATACTAATGTTAGCATTGGTTACATGCTTTCATTAGCATTCATCTCAATGCACAGTGCAGCTATTCTGACAAGGTTCATCTTTAAGAAAAAGCGAAATTGTAGAACTGAACCTGAGGTCAAGGGACAGTTCCCCCCAAATTATAACACATATTTCTCCTCTTACCTATAGTGTTTTTTTAGCAATAAACATTGTTTTGTTGTAGACTTCTGTTGAATATAAAGGGCCCAACAATTCCTTTGAAAAAAAAACTCAAGAGCAATGTCCCGCTCTAGTTTTCTTTCTACAAAACTAAATAAGTTTGTATTAATAAAGTTTATGGTATGTTTTGACTAACAAGGTCACAATTTCCGAAAGAGTCATTGGTGTTGAGTTTTTCAAATGTTTTTGTTGGAGGGACCGCAGATATCGTCACACATAGAAAGTCACTATAGATACTAACTAATCATGCTTCAGGTAACAATATGTTTGTTTTTTTGACTACATACTCAGGCTCACACGTTTTTCCCAACACATGGCTAACGTTACATCCCTAAAGAGTCACAGCTAGCGTGGCTAAAATCTATAGCATTTAACCCCACTGTAGGCTTAATGGGAGAGAGTTGTGTACCTGCGCTCAGTTCTCTGTGTAGCTGAAGTTTTAATGAAGCAGGTTTTCATTAGGTTCCCACTGTTCATGCCGACAGCCGCTGGTATGAACCCTGGCAGGATGTGTTTCAGCTTGATTAAATCCCACACAAAGTATATTCCATTCCTCACAGGTTATGACAACGTCTCTTCAAAACAGCACAAGTCTTTCGTCATTGTGAAAGTTAGAGAACAGACCGAACCTGCAGTGTTCATTCTTCTGTGATAGCAGCTAGAGGAATGTTATTGACAGTCTGTATAAAGCCTAGCACCCAGTGTAATGCATGCACTGCACTTATCCTTACAATATCTAAGGCACTTAACTATAGGAGGGGAGGTTATGCTAAACACTGCGCGTATGTATGTATGCGTGTTTGTATGAGTTGTATTTGTATGTGGTTACGTGGGCCAAATGAGTCCCACACACTTTAAAATGACAAATGAACAAATAAAAATGGTTTGAGGTATAATGCTATGATTTGTGTCCAGTGTGTGTAAGAGTATCTCTCTGTAATCTGAATGTACTGCTGTCCCTTTGTGTCTTGCACATGTTTCAAACCTTACACATGTGTAGATTAGGGTTGTGATTAGGCATACAATAATCATATTCTCCCTATCAAAATGTGTTTTATGTCGCCCAAGAAATCTTCAGATCCCAAGGTAAAGTGGAGGCATTTGATTGAGGGCTGTAGTGTCTCTTTCTATACTGAATATGCTGTTATTGTTTCTGTGTAGAAGTTCTAGCAGAAAATAAAATCCTCACCTTCTCGCCCTCCTCTGTCAGCTTTTAGCTCCGTAGCCTCGACCCGTAATTTCATCTCAGCTGCTTCAAAGACATTTTAATCTGTCGTCTCCATTAAAAGAATAGCAGCAAAATAAAAGCCTGCCGCTGCATTGCATGAGCTGGCGGCGACACGAGCGGAGGGGGAGCTGCGTAGACTATAGGGACTCTCCATTTCTCCCCCCCTGTTTTTCAGTCTGACAGTTGGCCTCGTGATTCTCCGCAAGGTGAGTCATCAGAGGTCTGGGTTCTGCTTGTGTTAACGTACAGGCTGGGCAGGGGAATGTCACTGTCTTTCACCATTATCCATTCAATGTGGGTAGATAAGAGGGGCAGCGAGGTTCAAAAATTGCCATTGTTTAAGGGCATCAGGAGCAGTGTCTCTACTTCTGTGCGCAGTGAAAGACGCAGCAACAATACAACTAACCCACACCTCCCATCTTTTTCCTTTTTCACTCACTCAGAGTGCCGGTGAGCTGGAAGACCCCTGGTAGCCGTGGAAACGACCCCCCGTCTCCTCCTGGTGATCGGTGCATCCGCCCAAAGGAGGAGTGTCTCTCCATTGCGCCATGTCTTTCTCCACTAAAAAGAGGACATGTGGTGTGTGTTGGAGTGCGTGAGTGTGCGTATGTTGGTTGTGCATGTGTGTGTGTGTGTGTGTTTGCAGCAGTGGGACGACGACGACGACAACAACTACACACACATGCATACTGCTTTAAACCTGGAGGAAAACAAAAAAAAATCACTTTTCAGAAATTTCAAGATTTTATGAACTGAAAGCATTGTGATGGTAGAGATTTTTACCATTCGGGTGTATTTTTTTGTTTGTTTTTTTGTTTTCTTGAATGTTGACATTGAACACATGACTTCACAATGACATGAGGACCTTGTGTGTGTGTGTGTGTGTGTGTGTGGTGTGTGTGTGTGTGTGTGTGTGTGTGTGTGTGTGTGTGGTGTTTGTGTGTGTGTGTGTTGGTTGTGTGTTTTTGTGTGTGTGTGTGTGTTTTTTTGCTTTCTTTTTCGGAGGAGGGCCAAGAGAAGACAGATGGTGGATTAAAGACTTGTGATTCTTCTATCTCCTGGACTTTTTTCTTTATTGTGCATACTGCGTCGTAATATTGCCAACACCATGCGTTCTCCCCTCTTAAGATGAAACACACACACACACACACACACAAACACACAAACAACCATAAACAACCATTAAAAAAAGAAACAAACAAACCCAAACCCACTCCCACTCCACCTGTGTATTTGATGTGTGCCGCTTCGCAGGGCACTGCCATGGGGACCTCTGGTTCCACATGTACAGCTATCGTGGGTTTTTTCTAGTCGACCCGGATTCGACAACCATTGGTTGGACTGACTGAACCGAAGACCTCTGCACTTCTGATTGGCTCCTGCCGGTGTGAGAAGGTGAATCTATTTTGGATTTTTTTGTTGTTGTGTATGATACAATTTAGGATGACGATGGTAATCCATGAGTCGGGTTAAATGGGAGGTTATCTTCGTTCACTGAAGAGACCGAGTGCAAGTGGGACTCTTGGGGGGGGGGGGGGTGTTGTATCACTTGGTTGGACTTCCTGAGAAGGATAAGGGGCAGGAGGGTTGTGGGTCAAAGGGGTGCTTCCCCTACCTCCCTCCCCACCTTCATGGTTGAAATGACACATGACGGCAGGGACTGTCCTGACAGAGGAACATTTTTTTTTTTTTTGATAATGTTGTCCATGAGGTACTAGCTGCTCGCTATGTTAGAGTGGAGTGAACCCCTGTTTTAACCCGTGTTCCTGGTTCTCAGACTGCCACTTGGTAATGTTTGTATTGCTGTTGTTTGATTGCACTCATATTTGATTACAGGAAAGCGTCCTATATATGAAATAATAATACACTGCCCAAGGATCAAAGTGGTGCTGCTGTTATTATGAGGGTAATGTCGATTTCTGGAAGCTGGGTACGTACCCAGAGGCCTTTTCTTATTTCACCTCAGAGGCCCGTACCTGATTCAGGGATCAATCAGATCAAGAGGACTGGAGGTATAGTTAACCACACTGCAAAAACTATAGCTGCAAAAAGCTTTTTATTTCCCAGCAGGAATGCCGTAAGACACACACACCACACCACACACACTGCTGAAAACAATACCAGCACCATGCTGTTGCATGCATGGTAAAAATTAAACCACAAGGTGTCAGTCATGTACA